CGCGCAAGGCCGAGTCTTCTTCTTCTTCTTCCTCCTCCTCGGCCGCGGGTCTTCCCGAGCGCCCGAGCACGTGGATCGGGAGCCGGCGCACCCCCCCCCCCCTCCCAGGACCGGTCCACCGCTCAGCGGAGGCCGCCCCTGGGGAAGATGGGTGGGGTGCGCAGGCCCGGGCCTGTATGGATTTGCAATGGCCCAGATCCCCCTGGAGTAAAGAACGACTCACGACGGGAGGCTTTTCGCTGTCTTCGGCCTCTGGGTGCCCCCTACCGGGCCTCGGGAGCGTCAAAGAACGACTCGGGATGCAAAGCCGGTCCTGGAGAACGGGTCGGGACCTCTGGGGGCCGACGTAGTGAAACATCGTGATACGTCGGGGGTCTGGGGACATAAGGGGGCGCGCTGCCTCCCGGAGCCGTGGCGCCTCGCTCAGCAGCGCTCGCGCCCCCGCCGCTGCCGCGCGCGCCCCGCCCCGCGCCCAGCGGAGCGGCGCGCGTCCTGCCCAGCGACTCGCCGGCCCCGCGGCCCCCCCCGCCCGCGCAGCAGCGGCAGCAGCTGCAGGCCCGCGCCCAGCGGCGGCCCGGCCAGCAGGGTGCGCCCGCGCGTCGCTCGTCGAGCCCCAAGGCACGATCGCGTCGCAACAGGGGATCAGGGCGGGAGGCTTTGGGCCGTTTGCGGCCTCGGGGGGGCCCTCGGGAGCGTGAACAAAACGATTCAGGACGAAAAACTGGCCCCGGGGAAGGGGGCGGGGATTCCAGGGACCCCGTTCTGCAAACATCGGGGCGTCGCATGTCGGGGGCGTCGTCCGCGCGCTCGACGCCCCTCTCCGGCCAGCCCAGCCGCTCGGCGGCGCTGCGCTGCAGGGCCAGCTGCGCCCGCACGGCGCAGCTGACGACCGTGTGGGCCCGAGACAGCTCACCGAGCTGCCGGTCCTCCGGCAGGGCGCGCACCATGCAGCCACTGTCGGGCTTCCCCGCCTTGGGGCCCCGGGGCTTCCACCGCACGTGGTGTCAGACTGTCCCCCCGGGTGCCTATGGCGTGCTGCGGGCGCTCGGCCCTCCGCGCGGCCTCGGTCGCCAGCCTGGCGTGCCGCCGCCGACGCCGCGCCCTCCGCCGCAGGTGGCGGACCGGGCATCATGTTCCGGGGATGCCTTCCCGATCTGTGGATCTGGCGCCCGCGCGCCAACTCTGAAACTCCCAACTCGACGGGAGTTGTTCTCCCAACTCGAGGAGGCATCTTGAAGCACCGAACTCGACGGGGGTTGTTCTTCTGCCGTTCTCGTCGTCTGTAGGTGCCCTCGCTTGCCCCCGGGGACCAGTCAGAAACTGTTCCGGATGCCGGGGCCGGGTCGAGACACCTGCGGGTCTACGCATTCGCATGTCTGGGAGGAGGGGGCCAGGAACTTGACGATCCGTGCCCTTGGCATCGCTCGGACGTGTGCAGTTTAAACTCCCTTCGGCGAGGACCATCGAGGAGCATCTTTGATCATCTGGCGAAAATACCACGCCACGAAATCGAAAAAGGCACAGGCAATGGACGTCCCAGCGATGGCGAGTGCCAGCGCCGCATCGGAATTGGCAGGAGTGGCTGATTCCCAGAGGGCGCCGGCGCCAGCGCAGACCGTGGCACTGCCGGGGGGAGGGGCGGGGGACGAGGCGGCGGGGCGCGGGGGCGTCGTGACGGGCGCGATGGCGAAAGCCGGAAGGACGGGCTCCAGGAGGGGGGGCCTCTGGTCTTCGGGCCGTGCTCTAGGTCCGGCGGCGCGGCGAGGAGGGAAGGACTCAGAGTCGGGGGTGTACAGAGGGGGTCGTCCCCAGACCCCCTCGAGTCATGAAAAAATCACGACGGTAGGATTTTCATTATTTTTGGACCCTGGGGGCCCTTACTGGCCCTCGGGACCGTCAAAAACGACTCAGGACGAAAAACCGGTCCTGGGGAATGGGTCCAGACCTCCGGGGGCCGACGTCATGAAAAAATCATGACGTCGGGGGTCTGGGTCCTTGGGGATGGGGTCCTGAGGACGAGGTGCCTCAAGCAATGTAGCTTCACCCTGGGACCCCTTCCTATCCTTAGTCGGGTATAGCCAGGACCCCGGGTAAGGGGACCCGGTTAGTGGTAGGGCCCTGGGGCCTTCCAACTGGCCAGATTCACTAAACCAGGTTTGCCGTACCTGGTGCTTTTCGGGTGGCGGCAGCTCCGGTTAGTGGAAATGGGACGGGGGGGCGCCCCCGGTACAAATCACTCAACCAGGTTCCACTAAACCCAGTTCTGCCAACGCCCGATTTAGGCCCCCCTCTCTCAGGACCCCATCTTAGAACCACCGAAGGAAGAGGGGGCGGACCTTCCGAAGAGGCGGCGTGTCTTCTCAGAGGCCCTCCGGCCTTCTGGGGAGCCCTCCTGCGGAGTCGGAGACGGCGCGGGAGGCTTCTCAGAGGACTGGAGGCATTCTGAGCCTTCCCAGCAGGCCCACCCCTCCTCCTCCTCCTCCTCCTCTTCCGCCTCCTCCTCCTCCTCTTCCTCCTCATCCGCCTCCTCCTTCTCCTCCTCCTCCTCCTCCCTCCTCCTCCTCCTCCACAATTACACAATATGAAAATACTCTCCCACTTCCCCTGATGGCGTCCCGAAGATATCCGACACCTCCCCGCGTACTGTTTTTTACACAGGATTCCCGGGAAACGGGTTTTCGCTTGCGTTTTTTTTCTCAAAATGCTGCTCTCGCTGAGGCGCCGGCCTCATTTCTGCTCCCGAATCGTTCCGAATCGTGCTCCCGCTGCAGCGTGGGCCTCATTTTCGGATCGGTGTTTGGCCTCCGTCGTTCAGGATGGCGTTCTCGCCCCAGCGCGGGCCTCTTTCTCGCGCGCCCATCCGCCCGCCACCACCGCGCCGCACCACCACCACCACCACCACCACCACCACCACCACCACCACCACCACCACCACCACCACCACCACCTCCACCACCACCACAACCACCACCAGCACCACCACCACTACCACCACCAGCAGCACCACCACCACCACCACCACCACCACCACCACCACAACCACGCACACACGCACGCACGCACGCACGCACGCGCACCACCACCCACTGCGCACGCGCGCGCGGAGCCACAGGTCCGCTACGACACGCGTCCGCGGATAGAGAAAATCAGCGCCATGGTAAGGGATGGGAGGGAGGGGTAGGACGTCAGATATGACGCGAGCGCACCTAGCTTGTCCAACCCCCTCCCCCTCCTCCTCATCTTCGATTCCTTTCTCATTGCAAGTAACTTCTCCGTCTCGCACCCCGAGGCTTCCTCACCATCTATGACCATGAAGCTTAAAATATCGACAGCTGTACAGATGGAGGGCGGCTCGATTTCAAAATGTGGCTATCGCCTTAGCGCCGCGCACATTCGTTGCAACAAAAATGCAAGAGTTTCACGAATTCAGGGCGGGTCGTTTTCAGAATGTGGTTCTCGCCTCAGCACCGCGCACATTCGTCTTAAAATTCTGACGGGGCTTCACGCATGCAGGGCGGGTGGTTTTAACAATGTGGCTCTCGCCTTCGCGCCGCGCACATTCCTTCGGAACATTTGCAAGACTTTCACGGATTCCCATTACCAGAGGTGGAAGATGAGGAGGCGGAGGCTGAGGAGAAGGAGGAGAAGAAGGAAGGATGACGGGAAGAAGGAGGAGGAGGAGGCGGAGGACGACGAGGAGGAGTAGGAAGAGGAAGAGGAGAAGGAGGAGGAGGAGGAGGAGGAGGAGGAGGAGGAGGAGGAGGAGGAGGAGGAGGAGGAGGAGGAGGAGGAGGAGGGAGGAGGAGGAGGAGGAGGGAGGAGGAGGAGGAGGAGGAAGAGGAGGAGGAGGAGGAGGAAAAGGAGGAGGAGGAGGAAAGGGTTCAGGATTATGCGGGTGGCCCAGCTACGTCCAGTCGCGGTGTTGACGGCCCAGGAACGGCGTTCTGGCACGGTTCGAGATCGTCAGGGCGCAGCAGTCAGGTCGACCCGTGGCGTCGGAGTCCCGAGGACAATGTTTTGGCATGCTTCAGGGCCTTCAGACGGCTGTCTTCCAACGAGGCAGTTCTCTCTGTGGCTCTGTGGAAATGAACCTCTGTAGGGGCCTATGAAAAGGGAGCTTGGAGGGAGGGTTTCTCCCTCCTCCTCCCCCTCTGCCTCCTCCTCATCCTTTTCCTCCTCCTCCTCCTCCTCGTCCTCCACCTCCTCCTCCTCCTCCTCCTCCTCCTCCTCCATCTCTTCCCTCCTCCTCCTCCTCCTCCTCCTCCTCCTCCTCCTCCTCCTCTCGCGCCCTGTTCGCATGGCGAAGTGTGTGCAAGAAGACTCCGCTCATCGGCCCGACGGCTCTCTCCCGTCGGAAGCACCCCTGGTTGGCGCTGGCCTGTTCCGATCATGTACTTCTGCTATTTTGCAAGAGGTGTTACAGTGGAGACCCATGCCAAGAAACACCCTGCGTGCCTCCCGGGTGCCCTGGGTTTCTTGGGTTTCGCTGGTTCCGCGATGGAGAGCGCGACGTCCCCACGCCAAGCATCGATGGACTCCTTGGGGTCTCAGAACAGGGTTTCCTGTGGAAGGTTTCTCGTGGACGGACCTCCTCCGCACGGCAGGCTCGCGTCGTGCCGACTCGCCGCGACCCCGCCGCCAGCGTTCCACGGCGGACACCGCGGCCACGCGGACCACAGTGGGGTCGCGTGCCAAGACACCGGTTGGATTTTGCCAGGGTGCCCTGGGTTTCTCGGATCTCGACGAGCCCCCAATCTGATCTTGACGCTCTTCGATCGACCAATCTGGACTTCCACTGAACAGATCGAGGATTTCAGGGTTTGGGGTTTCCGACGGGGGTTTCTTGTGGCCGAGCCCCCATTGTGGGTCGAAGTGGAACGATCCGACGTCTCGGACACGGCCGATCGTTCCAGGCGGGGCGTTCTTCCCCGTGGCGCCAGGAAAAAAAGCAGCGCCGAGGGCTGCACGGCACGAGCCAGCGGCGCCTTGGCCCCCGGGAGGCGGCCGTGTGGAACGACGCGCAGCTGCTGTGCCACCTGAGCCTGGTGGACTACTCGCTGCTGCTGGTCGTCGCAGAGCCCCAGGAGAGTGGGCAGCCGGATGCGTCGCAGCTCGGAGCAGACAAGCATGAAGTCGGGCATGCCCCTCGCAGGAGGAAACATATGAGAATATAGTCTGGGGACGGATGTTCGAGCAGTTTTGTTCCAGATGTTTCTCTTGATTTCTAGTCTTCATCCCAAACCCCCCCCTGTACGAGGACATGCCCGACTTACGACAAGCACCTGCATACACATCATTCCGGAGGCCTGGAGGTTGGCGCCAACACCAAGATCGAAGTCGGCACGGTGCCTTCACTGGTGGAAGTTGATCCCAATCTCGGTGGTGGTGGTAATGCTTGGGCTTCCTAGGTTTCAGTCGGGCCTGCCCCTCTACAGGAGGATTATTCAAAACTAGTCCAAAAATAGTCCAGGACGATTTCTTGACCATTTTTCAGCATGTTTTGGGTATGCTTGGTCGTCCAAGCTCCGCCTGTAGGGGGACATGCCCGACCTAATCCTAGGTGCCGTATCGAGTTCCGCCAGCACCGGAATCTGGGATCATCTTCGCCCGGTGAACGCAGCCCCCTGCCCTGAATTTTGGTGTCGGAGTCCATTTCCAAGCCTCCAATCATCCTGCGTCGATCAGCCACGCGCAGAGGGGGGGGCGGGAGGGGGGAGGGCTTCTTAGAAGCACCCCTGCTCCTTAGAAGGCGCGGGCCTTATCTATAGATGTGAGGCCGCCGCCTTCTAAGAGGCAGCCTCCTTCTAAGAAGCCCTCCCCCCTCCCTCCACCCCCTTGTGCGCGCCGCCAAGTCGAGCGATCCCCGGCCGAGGACGCAGGGCGGGATACCCGAGGCCCCTCCGGGCGTGGCGGCCGCGGGATGCAGGCGTCGGTCGTCGGAGAGGCGAGGCGGGATACCCCGAGAGCACCGGCGCAAACCGATCAGCAAGTGTTCAGGACAGTCAAAGACCCCCCCCAACGAAGCGCACCTACGGGTCAGGACGCATGTCGAAGGCTGTCCTGTGTTGAACACACCGACCGCAACTGCGGTCTCCGTGCTCTGGTAGCCTCCCTGCAGGGTGAGGCGCATGCCAAAGTAGCGATGCACCCCACTGGCCGCAACTGCGGCCAGCTGCCGCGCGCACACGCGAGTCTTCCTAAAGAGGATCGCTCCTGCAGAGCCGTCAAGGCGGTGACCGCCCCACAAGTCCTCAAGACTGAGCGCGTAGTCCAGGAGCTTTGTGCGCCTTCTCTTGTCCCCCACGACGTCCTTCTTGACTGCGCTTCTGATGGGATCCATCAAGAGGAGGACGACGAAGGCCGGGCAGTTCTGGAGCTGCTACTCGAAGCCGCGGTCCGCCACTGCGGACCGCGCCCTTCGCCCTCCTGCTCCTCGGCAACCTGGCAGAGAACCGAAGTCTGGGTGGAGCTCTCCCTCCGCCTCCGTGGGGGGCTCCTTGGAAGACTCCCTCGAACTCGAGCCCGTGGAGCTCGACGGAGATATCCTCCTGCTGCGGCAGCTCTCCCTCCTCCTCCTCCTCCGCGTCGCGTGCCAGCTCCTTCTGCTTTTGCATCTTTTCCTTCTGGTAACTCTCCAAGGGGGCCCGCGAGAACCCAGAGGAGGCCCCAGAAGCTGCAACTGCGGCCTCTGCCGCCCTGGGGGTCGCACCTGCGGACTCTGCGGCTTTTACCGGAACCTTTCTCAGGCATTCCTCTGTTAAATCTGCGTCGGGCATGCGCACTTGTGCATGAGCCATTCTCGCGATTTCCTCGCGTCTGCGCAGGCTCTCTTCTGATTCCGCAACTGAGGATGCTTCGGCCGCCTTTTGGCGCTTCGCAGTTCGCTCAGCCCAATTCCTCGTTGCGGGGCCCTCCGAAACAGCGGAGCCCTTGGCTGCCGCAACTGCGGAGCCCTTCGCAACCACCTCGGCTGCGGCATCACCGCCTCCTCCCCTTCCTCCTCCTCCTCCTCCTCCTCCTCCTCCTCCTCCTTCTTCTGGTGGCTCCTCGCATCCCGTCTGGGAACGTTTCGGCTTCGGCATTGGCGCGGAAGCGGCCGCGCGGGCCGCGCCAACGCAACTGCGAGCCAGTGGCTGAGGAAAACGTGGCGGCATCAAAGAGTAAGGAGTGCTCCAATCGTCGAGCGACGGCGACAACGGCAGGGTGGAAGGCCGAGCGAGCTGGGGCTGGGGCTCCAGCGGCGACGATGGTCATGAATTGGGGGGGGGCGGGGGGCAGGGGGGGAAGGGAGGAGGGGGGGGGGGGGACGGGGAGGAGGAGGGGAGGAGGAGGAGGAGGAGGAGGAGGAGGAGGAGGACGAGGACGAGGACGAGCACGAGGATGAGGACGAGGACGAGGACGAGGAGAACGAGAAGGGAGGAGGAACATGAGGAATTAGGAGGTGGAGGAGGCGGATATAGAAGCAGAAGCAGGAGGGCGAGAAAGAGGAGGAAGAGGAGGAGGAGGAAAGAAAGGAGGAGAATGAGGAAGGGGGGAAGGAGAGAAGCGACATGAAGAGGAACAGCATCAGTAGGGATGTCCTTTCGGCGGTTTCGCAGTTTTGGTCGCTCGAAAACAACCGCGGAGAACGAGGCGCAAATCCTCTCGCGCGCAGCTGCGGGCGACCCGTGCATCCGCAACTGCGGATTTGTCTTCCTTGGCCCCGTGCGTTCGCTGCTTTCTCTCTTCTCTCTCTTCTCTCCCTCCCGATGTTCCTCAATGTCATCTTCTCTCTTTCTCCCTCATCTTCTCTCCTCTCGCTCTCTCTCTCTCTCTCTCTCCCTCCCGGTGTTCCTCAATGTCCTCTTCGCCCCCCCCTCCGCGCCCCACCGACGGGCGCGGCCTCCGCAGCTGCGGGCGCGGTTCCCTTCATCTCGAGGATCCCCGCCGGTTCTTTTGGGGGGGGGGGCAGGTGGGGCCCTGCGCTGGCGTTGCATCCGAGGGGCACCTTCGTCTGGCTGTGCTCGAAGGAGCGAAACGCCCCTTCCTCTTGGGGATCACCGCTGGTTCTTGAGTTGGGGGGGGCAGGCGGGGCCCTGCGCTGGCGCTGCATCCGAGGGGCGCCTTCGTCTGGCTGTGCTCTCGACGGAGCGCAGCGCCCCCCTGGGCCCCGACGTCCCCCCCGAGGCCGCGCGGCGGAGGCTCCGCGGGCCTGCCCCCGCCGCACGCCTCTGCGGACGCCTCGACTCCAGGCGTCGCTTCTCTGCGGGCGGCGAGCCGCGAGACGGACCCGCCGTCCCTCGCGAGGACGAAGTTCCTCCTCCTCCTCCTCCTCCTCCTCCTCCTCTTCCCCCTCCTCCTCGTCCTCTTTTCCTCCTCCTCCTCCTCCTCTTCCTTCTCCTCCTCCTCCTCCTCCTCCTCCTCCTCCTCCTCCTCCTCCTCCTTCGGGGCGAGACAGACCAGCCGTCCCTCGCGAGGAAGAAGGCCCAGGTCGGCGGCCGAACGTCTGTCCGAGGGCGCCCTTCCGCACGGCGTGCCTCCTGTGGCCGTGGCTGCCGCGCCCCGCCACACCCTTCTACGAACGCCTCGATCGCAGGCGTGCTTCTCTGCGGGTGGAGCCGCACGACAGACCCGCCATCCCTCTCGAAGGCGAAGTCCGGGGGGGACAGACCTCCTACCCTGACGCGTCGATTAAGGACTTGGCCGCTGTCGGTTCGCGGGAGGGCGTCGCGGCCGTCAGTTTTTGCGGGTCCAGGTCCGTCGGTGTCGGTCCCAGGCCGTTTTCACTAAGGGGAGGTCTACTAAAGGGAGGTTTGTCCACCGCCGAAAGACGAACTCCCAGATCGGCAGCCGAACGTCCGTCTGGGGGCGCCCTTCCGCTTTTCAGCGAGGCGTGCCTCTTGTGGTCGTAGCTGCCGCGCCTCGGTGCGATAGAGCACGCCACCAAGCCGCGACTGCGGCCATCCTGCCCCTGCATTGCCACCCTTTGAGACTCCTCGTCGAGCTGCGCGATCAGCTCTTGCCACTTCCATTCCCTTGTCTCGTCTCTGTACAGCTAAATGATGGCCCCTCGACCCAAACCGCTGCCGCAACTGCGGCAGGCTCGGCGTTCGAGAATACCACGGGGGCCGACGAGAAGGGCTCGCTCGGGTCCTCGTGCTCGTCACGGAAATACTTCAGGGCGGCGTTGCGTTGCCTGTAGCTCCCCGTGAACTCGCGGAGACCACGAAGGCGCGCGAGGTCGAAGACTTGTCCCTCAGCGGCCGCAACTGCGGCTTGATTGGGCGCCGCCGCAACTGCGGCACGTCCCCCCTGCTCCTCTTGCTGCTCCGCTCCTCGCGGCTCGTCGCGCCGGCCGCGCTGCGTCGACGGCTGGTCGCGCCAGCCGCGCTGCTCCCACGGCTCGTCGCGCCAACCGCGCTGCTCCCGCGTCACGCGGCGCCAGTCGCGCTGCTCCCAGGAGTCGCCCCACCAGCCTCCCTCCTCTGCTGCCGCCGCAACTGAAGCCGCTGCTCCGCCGCTGGAGCTCGCGGCGCCACTTCCCCATGCCGCCGCAGCTGCGGCCGCGGCTCCGCCGCTGCTGGGCTCCTGGTCCTCCGCGTCGGCCTCCATGACCTCATCGGGCTGATCCCAGTCGCCTGGTTTCTCCGCACATCTGCGCGAGACGGTCATCCTACCGTCAAAATCGGAGAGCACCCTGCGCAGATGGCCCCTCTTACTTTCGACGTGCTCCAAGCTACCGTCGAACTCGTCCAACAGCGAATCTATGTCGTGCACGGGGCCGCGCATGCTGAACATGCCATGGGCCGCCCGACAACAGGATCCGATAGGGCCGCGCAAAAACACAGAGCCAAGTGACGAAGAGAAACATGAAGAGGACAGCTAGGAAGAAGGATGTCGGGGAACGTGGAAACTGGAAGATCAAAAATAATAATAGCAAATAGGCATGATCCTGATCGAAGACACATGGTGAAGAATATAAGGAAATAGTATGAAGAGGAAGACGGATATCGAGGACAGAAGATAAGGAGAACGTCCAAGGATCAGGACAACGAAATACGCAAAGGCGACGAAATGGACGAACAAGCAGGAAGGCG